AATATATGTACGTATGTAAGTGTTTTAAAATATATATGTAAAACAAACAATGAGTCATGCAGTAAGATCAGGTGTTAGTTGTTACATAAAGAACAGTCTTTGCAAGTACTGTCCAGCGGGCTAGTAAAATCAACGGAACGCAGAAATGCTACTATGAAGCCCTAAAACTTTAAAAATAACTGTATGAAAGTGAAATTTTGGTAATATGGACAAGAAAATTCCAAACGTGGATAAATACAGGTTGTCAAAGTTAAGTTGCTGTGGGACATTAAGTTCGTCCATCCACCGAATTATGAGCCATTAACATTTTTATTTACTCAGTCTTTCCTTCCTTATTTTCCTCCTTCCTCCCATCCTTCCTTCCTTTCGGTAGTATAATTAACACTTATTCCACGAGCAAGCCTTTGATATGGGATGATAGATAACCAACAAGGTGTGTGACCAACGCCGAGATGGCCATAATCGCCTCGTTACCAACAAGCGCTGGTGGAATGATTTTTTGGGGTCTTATGCACTTCATACATACAGACCTCTAAGTCAGAAGCTGATCTTGATTGTCCGTTAGTCAGTCAGTCAGTCAGTCAGTCAGTCAGTCAGTCACTTTGAGGACGAGGTGACATGTGACAGACCTCTGGGAGTATTAATAGTCTGGCAGGTAGACTGAGTACTAGTAATTGCGAGTTACGTCGGCCATTGCTTCTGGCGTAGAGTTGTTGTCGTGTAATTGCAGCCGTTTTACCTGTTTTGTGAAAATTTAGAGGAGCTTTCCCTCGCAAATTAATTGTTCAAGGTAAGTTATTTCTATCTCAAAATCGCTCTGTCGTGCTGTTTATGATTTCATTTCGACAATTAATTTTATATGAGATAAAGCCATGAAAGCGCCAAAATATCGAATATTTCAAAGCCGTGGATTTCTGTGTGCATAATTGCCAAATTTATCGGCCGGGGAAGCTCCTGTTGTAGTAAAATGGTAATTTCTTTTTTAGGCTCTTGATGAGAATTTTTTCTCACTGGGTTTTTAAGTTTTTAAAAATGACAGTTGTATAATAGTACACTTTTTAAAATAAGTCCAAGAAGAAAAAGATGAAAAGGTATTTTTTATTGCCTTCTTATGCACAAAATACAAATATAATACAGTAGAGATACAATACATACAAATACGATAATACTTTATTGCAACTCCCTACAAGGGTTTTTCAGTTACAAGACTAGTCTACATAACTATCATACTAAAATAACTAAAACAATAACCAAATAACTAAGGCAATAAATATGCATTAAAAAATTAGTCAGATACAATGGATTGGAATTACTTTTTGTAAATTCATCATGATAGATTTATCCGAAAAAAGTAGGTAAACAATTCTTTTCCTAAAAACGTTGA